CCAGGCGTGTAGGGAAACGTTAGCATTCCCCCCGCCCCCGCCTCATTTTTTTGCGACAGTTGCAGCGAAAGTTACGGCAGTCGAGGCCGGTGTCAGCTGATTTACCGCAGCGGCGGCGGCGGCGGCGGCAGTAGCGGCGCCCTGCAGCCCGGGTGGGGAGGCGGCGGCCGAGCTGGGGTTGCGGTCCCAAAGATTTTCGCACCCCACAGTCATCTTAGATCCGTCCTTGCTTTGTGCTCCTTTGCCGGGAGGTCTACCGGTGGTCCGACAGACAACATCACGGCAGGAGATGAAGCTGTGACAGGTAGGAAGGGGGATTTCGAGCCTCCCCAAGGGGATCTCCGGGGCGGGATGTGCCCGCAACGTGGAGGTCACGGGGCTGGGGGTCAGGGGTCACAGCCCGCGCCCTCCGGTGGCGGCGCCAGCTGTCAGAGCTCTGCTGCTGGAAGCTCCGTGCTGTGCTGCGCCTGACGTTCAGGCCCCCAGCGAAGCGCCGTTGCCCGGGTCGTGGCTCTTGCCAGGGGGTTTGGGGCTCCCTGGCCTGGTAAGTGACATTTGCTTCTGGTGACACAGGCTTTGGGCTTGAGATGGGACCGCTCTGCTTTCGGGCAGTCTAAACCGGGCGCGGTGGTTCGTGATGATGGGTGGGTGGTTATTGACAGTGTTTTCCGGCAATGTGCTGGTTTGCGGGGTACTTATGGCCCCTCCTTACCCGCTGGTACTCCTCTTTAGTTTGCCCTTGCCTAAGGTATTGAGATGGCTGTTAGGGTTTCATCTTTGAGGTGCCACCTGCCCGTCCTCATCCCTCTGCTCCATACTTGGTCTAAGAGGACCTGCCACTTCCTGTCCCCAGTGGGACGCAGCGCTCCGGAGCAGTGTGCTTACTGCCTGCCTTTGGTTCACACATTGCGTTTTAAGTTCTGATTCACCTTTGCTCTGTCAGTTTCTCAGGCGCTAGGCAGACTTGGCTGGTTCTTCGAGTTTGCAACAACGGTAGCTACCTCTACACCGCGGGCCGCATTAGTATTGTTACTGTTGATTTTAGCATCCAGTGAAAGCTGCAGCTTGTTTTCACCGCAACGTTTTGCCAGCAAAGGAAGACAAGCTATGTCTCCTTCAGATGTTAATTGCTTAGGGCTCCATGGACAAGGTGGCAAAAATCGCCAGTTGTATGAGAGATTGTATGTTTTTTTTGAAATTTTGTTACACACCCACGTTTTCTTGTTTTATAAGGAATTTGTGACAGAATGAAGTGGAGAGGACTTTAAAAGTGAAAATAGCCGTGGCCGGTTGCTCAGTGGTTAGAGCGTCGGCGCAGAGTCACGGGTTCAAGTCCGGTCAAGGGCACATACCTCCATTGCCGTTTGTTCCCCCGCCCTGGTCAGGGTCGTGCAGGAGGCAACCAGTCGCTGTGTCTCTCTCACATGCATGTTTCTCTCTCTACCCCCTTCTTCCCTCCCACTCGGACTGAAGATAAATGGGAAAATAACCTATGGTGAGGATTTAAAAAAAAAAGTGAAAATGTGTTGAAGTGCTTTTATTACTATGAAGAATCAAAAACTGCCTTGATTTCATCCAAAATAACAGGTCATAATTATTTCAAATTGGAAAAATTTGAGCCTTGTATCTTATAATTTTATTTTTATCTTGGATATAAATTATGTTTTGAACTAAAGGAAGTGGGATAGTTTATGTAACAATCTTAGCATCTAAAACTTTAAAAGTAGTGAGCTGGTTTTGTGTCTTTGTCATGATAGGGTAGGATATCATTTAACTTTAGTGATGTGCTCTGTGTTTGGTGTGAGACCTTAAAGTTTGTTTTGGACCTCAGGTGCAAAGGATTGAATTAATCTTTCTCAATCCCATGATATTCAATTGGGCTGTTTAAGGAGTGTCCCTTGATTTTTTTGTTTTTCATTCTATTTTTTAATTCATTGTCTTTTATTTCCAATTCCCACTCCATTCCCTCAGCTATCTACTTGTAAGCAACCATTCTAATAAGTGTGATGTGTATCGTTCTGTTTGTATGTGTCATTAATGTATATTGTTTTGGGTGCCCACATTTTTAATTTATAGAGCTGATGTCATGCTATATATTTCATTAATTTTTTTCCCTCAATGTGTTTTAAAGATCTGTTTGTGGAAAAAAAATAAAGATCTATTTGTGTCTCTGTCTATTGCTTCTCACTGCTGCACAATATTTCAGAATGTATATCTACTACATTGTATGTGTACTCTCCAATTTGTGAATACCCACATTTACCTTCATTTTCCTACCACTATAGACAATACAATGATAAGCATACCTTTAGACCTCTGTGATACTTTCTTTGAGATTTATATCCAAGGTTGTGATTTCTGGATCATAGGATATGTATATACATATTTTATGGAAAGACTGCCAGATTGTGTTCCAACAAGCTGCGATAGTCTACAGTCCTGCAGGAAGTTCATGAGAATTTCTGTGTCCTTATATCTCCACCAGACTAATCGATAACAAAGTAAGTAGATAACAAATAAAAACTCATCTTAAATTACATTTCACTATGCCTAATGAGATTGAGCATTTCTTTCTGTGCATTTCATCTTTTGGCGGTTTCCCTTGTATAAAATTGCCTGTTCATCCCTTTGCCCATTTTTAATTGAAGGATTCAGGCCTTTTCTTGTTGAGCTGAAGAAGTTGCTTGTATTTTCTAGATACCAGTCCTTTAAATATTACAAGTACATCTGTTTCTATTTCGTCATTTGTCTATAATTTTTTTCACGATGCACTTTGTTGAACAGAAATCTCTAATTGTGATATAATCAAATTAAAACAATTTTTTTTTTTACTTTCGGTTTTTGTTTTGGGTTTTTTTTAAGAAGGCGTTCCCCAACTATATGGCACCAAGTTACCCTCCGATTTTATGTATTAATTTCATAGTTTTCTTTTAAATTTATAGGTCTTCATTACATTCAGAGTCTGTCTTCTTATAGTCATGAACTGTCAGTCAATAGACCATGTATATAATGATAGTTCCATAAGATTGCAATTCAGCTGAAAAATTCCTATTTCCTAATGATGTCATAACCATGATAAAGTCATAGTGCAAGGCATTGCATGCTGACCACTGTGTAACAGTTGCCTACAGTATTCAGTGCAGTGACATCTTGTGTAGGTTTGTAGTCTAGGAGCTGGAGGGGAACAGAATTTGTCACCCCCAAATATGTCTCTTTGACATAAGGATTATTTTAGGTTGATTAATTTTAAGAAATAACAGATAGAGGAGAAGTTCTGAAAACCAAGTAGAAGTTACCCTTTGACATTGACATTTTTAAGGGTTTCTCCCTTGCTGAAAGCTGGGCATGACCTTTTCTGTAGAAACTCTTATCAATGCAGACGACAGTGTTGCTAAACCTGCATTACAATCTTACCCTTCTTGACTGTTGTTTTCCTTGTAACTTCTATTAACTGGCTCTTCACCTTCAACATCTTTTCTGCTAAAGATTTTGGGGAGTTACTCAGAGTTCATGATTCTCTTTCATGTATACAGGAGGTGGACATGTTATTAAACTTTTGTTTGTTTTTCTCCTGCCAATCTGTCTTTTAGTGCAGGGATGTCTCAACTAAGAACCCTGAAGGATGGAGGGAAACTGTTGTCCTCCCGTACAGAGCAATAAGCTATACCATGTAGCCTAGGTGTATAGTAAGCTATACCATCTATGTTTGTGTAAGTGCACTCTATGATGTTTACACAATGATGAAGTCGGCTGAGGACTGCCAGTTCAATACCAACAGGAGTCCCCAATTTGGGGTGTGGTGAAGAAGGAAACTTGATTCAGTACAAACAGCTGAGTTGTGATGCCACTTGGCCATTGGCTGGGAGAGCAGGCAGCTGCAGAACAGTTCAGTAGTGTTACAGCTCAGTTATGAAGCAGCAGGGCTGTGAGGCAGCCCTGGGGTGAGGCAGCTCTGTTCTGCTCAGGTCCGCCCCACCCTGCTCCACTCTGCCTTCTCTGCTGTGTTGCTTTGCTCCAGCCCGTTCTGCTGTGGTCCTGCAAGATTTTTTGGTATCTCAGCTGCAGTCTAGGAAACAGTCTGTAGTGTTTGGTGGAAAGGAAAAGTAGGCTCTCCAAGCCACTTTCAAGCTCTTGCAGATATTTTACTAGTGTTTAGCTCATATATATTGCTCTATATGTTGGTAGCTAATATACATCAGTGATAACAGATTGGTGGAGTGTGCCTGTTACCTTCTGTTCTCACATCCAAGTTATCTATTTGACTGTCTTCCTTAAAGGCTCTCCTTTTCTAAATACTTCAAATAAAAACCACTATGAGTGGGAGTACAAAGTTTACACTAATAAAATATCACTTTACTTAGTTTCAAACACAATTTTGTGATTCATTAGCAGGTCTTAGTGAGTGTAGTTAGTAGTGATTAGTTAAAGTAAACCAGGTCAGCCAAGATGCTTCGTAAGTCCTAAGATCTGTCTTGCAATGTTTATGTCACAGATAGAATAAAAGAGGCTGGAGTATCAGCAAAACCTTCAGCTGGAAAAAAAAATTGGTATGTTAATATGTTTGATTAAGGAGACATTATTAACATTATTATAGAAAAATTGATAGGCAACTCTTCTGTGAAAAACAAAGCATGTAAAATCAAGATGTATTTTGTTAATGGGTACCAGTCTTTTTAAACCAAGGCAAATAAACTTCATTCATTACTTTGTTCATGTATTCAACACATATTTGGGTGCCTCTTATGTGGCAGGAGTCCTAGGCCCTGGGAATACAGTAAAGAACAAAACAAATATAAATCATCACCTTCGTGGAGCTTATGTGATAGTAGAGGGAGAGACAAACAAGAAATAAAAAAAAATTTGGTATGTTAAATGATTGTAAGTACGCTGGAGAAATATATAAAATACTGTTGGATGGTGGGGTTTGTAATTGTCATGGTCCGGAAAAGCCTCACTGAGAAGACGACCTTTCAGCAGACACCTGCAGGAGGTGAGGGAGTGTGCACGGAAGAAGTCTGGGAGACACTACTCCGAAAGGAGACCCTGCCTGGCGTCTTTGAAGAAAACCAAGAATCACAGTGGATGGAGAAGAGAGAGCGAGGAGAGAACAACAGCCTTGTTCACGTAGGTGAAGCAGTTGTATAGAGTTTGTTCTACTCTGAATGGGACAAGAAGCCACAGGGAGATTCTGAGTACATGTGTGACATGGTGTGATTTTATTTTAATAGCATCACTCTTTATGCTACATTGAGACTATAACAGGACAAAGGTGCAAACAGGGAGACCAGTTAGGAGGCTGTTGTGTTGTCCCTGGTGGGAGCTGCTGGTGATTCGGAATGGGCTGATTGTAGTGAAGGTGTTGAGGAGTCATTGGGGTCTGGATCTGTTTTGAAGGTATAGCCAGTAGAGTTTCTTGGTGGATTGATATGTAGGGTGAATGTATCAAGGACAATTGTAGGATTTTGGCCTGTGGCTCTATAAAGATGGAGTTGCCATTAACTGAGATGGGGAAGATTATTGAGAGGAGCAGGTTTTGGAAGAAGATCAAGGACTCACTTCTGAGAAGTTTATTAGATAGAGATGTTGAATAGGAAGTTGGATATGTGAGTTTGGAGTTTGGAGTTCAGAAGAGAGCCCAAGCCATACATCAGGGGATTGTCAACATATACATTGACATCTGTAGGTGCTATTTAAAGCTTTGAGATTTGGTGAGGTCATTGAGGGAGAAAGGGAGGGAGGGAAGGTCGCTAGAAAAGAGAAGAGAAGTCCAGCATTTACAGGTCAAAAGCCCTGGCTGGTGTGGCTCAGTTGGTTGGAACATTGTCCTGTGCACTGAAGAGTCACGGGTTAGATTCCTGGTCAGGGCACATACTCGGGTTGTGGGTTTGATCCCTAGTCAGGGCAGGAGGCAGCTGATCAATGTTTCTCTTCACATGGATGCCTCTCTCTCTCTCTCTCTCTCTCTCTCTCTCTCTCTCTCCCCCCCCCCACTTCCTCTCCCTTCTTCTTTCTCTAAAATCAATAAAGCAAACAAACAAAAACAAGGAAAAATGGGGACTAAAGCTAGAGAGATAGCAAAGTATGAAGGCATGGAGGTCGAGTGAAGAAGTGTTTTTTAATAGACTTACTTAAAAAAATATTTTTATTGATTGTTAGAGAGAGAGAAAGGGAGAGGGAGAGAGAGAGAGGAACATCCATGAGAGAGACACATTGATCGACTGCCTCCTGCACGCCCCACACTGGGGATCGAGCCTGCAGCCCAGGCATATGCCCTGACCAGGAATCAAACCAGTGACCTCTTGGTCCATTGGTTGATGCTCAACCACTGAGCCACACCAGCTGGGCTGAAGAGGTGTTTTGAGGCAGATGAAGTATGAACTATGCCAAATGCTGCTGGAAGGTCTAGAAAGATGTGGGTTAGGATTTGACATTGGATTTACTAGTGGGGACATTATTGGTGACCTTGTCAGTAGTAGTTTTTGACAGGCAGACCATTTTTTCTGCAGTTCGTATATGAGAAGGAGGGGAATGCTGCATATGAAGATAGTCCGATTTAGAAAGACGTTACTATTTCCTCAACGTTTACAGCTAATAGTGGGGAAGCTGGGACCACCCCTCATCAGTGTGATTCTCAAATCTTCATTCTTGGTGAATACACCTTACTGATCCCTGGAATATTGTGATGGCTTCAATGTCTAGTGTGGGAAAGCATGTTTGTTTCTGCTTCTGGGTAGTTTAACGTATGAACAATGAGAAACTTCAGTGCTCAATTAAAAATGTTGATGGCAATGTCAAGGAAAGAAGTAGGAATGATTGGAAATGCAGGTGAGAATAGGTGGGTGGGGGAATCACTTCCTTCATCACATCTACTGGTTCTACCAAATGGGATCTGTTCTCTCTATAAAGTAGGGGCTTAGTGGGCATAGATCGCTTTTAGCTTCATCAGTAATTTGTGAAATTGAGGCAGGTTGGCGATGGATGGAGCATAAGAAGAGTTCAGACATCCTAATGGCAGCTGCAGAAATTTTAGACATGATTCATTATGCCTCAAAATCTATGAATCATTTAAAAAACTCGGATTTATTTTTGACCGCAAAGCTCTACAGTGCTCACAACCTGACTGAGGACTGGCTTAGCAATAAGAAATAAGTGTAGTCTTCTGTTGCCATCTGCTCGCTCCACATGTCCTTTGGAAACCGAATACTGGAACTTCATTTTACAAAGCAGCCCTAAAATGTCAAGCTCATTGGGAGTAGGTTTCTTGCTACCTAAATAAGAAAGGATAATCTTATCAGTTTAGTGACATGTTTCCTCTTCAGAAGGCCGTGTCCCTCGCAACTCTAATTGCAGAAACCCTTTGTTCGTAGGAAGCAGCTCAGTAATTTCATTAGGACTTTGTATGACTTAGCTATCTTGTTGCTTTATAATAAACAGTTTTCATTACCTGATTCCATTTTCTCCAAGTCTTCAGTAAAAGGGGGGCAAAAGCACAAAGAAAATGCGTAATCTTAGCGATCGCTTCCTACATCACATCTACTGTGCATTTAACTTGAACACACATTTTGACAAATTATATTGGAATGTCCTCTGAGAATTTGACTAAACCTTTAAAAACTTTTCTTTCTTCTTCATGGTATCTATGGCGAGTGTAGTTAGCTGTGTAGTGTGTAGTCCCTGCTTCTCATATTCCCTGATGGTAGCTGAGTAGTTAGGCCTGCTCTCCTTCATGTGCGGCCATTCTCATGGGAGAGAATTGAGTTGTTATGTCTGCAGGTCTCAGGAGGCCTGCCTGGGGCACAGGAAGTACACAGACCAAGATGAGATTGATTTTCTTTTGAAACTGCCTGTGCTCTGGGTAGAAATACATCTTGCTTTTGCATTAGAGTTAGGAAAGCAATGTAGAGAAATTAATGTTGATCTGACGCTAGATTTTTTCATATGTAATCTTAACTATTTTATAGCTTTTAGAAGTCACGTGGGATAGTAATATCATGGGATATTGCAGAACAGGATGGGCTTATCAGAGCATCACTCCACAAGTTATTGGCACTTTTATTTTTTTTAAATTTTTTTATTTTTTTATCCTAACCCGAGGATACTTTTCCATTTTTTGTACAGATAGAGCGGGAGGGAGAGAGAAGAAGGGAGAGAGAAAGAAACATCGATGTGAAGGGACACATTGAGTGGCTGCCACCCGCACGACCAACCAGGGCCAGGGACAAACTGCAACTGAAGTACGTGCCCTTAGCGGGAACCGAACCCGGGTCTCTCCGGACCGCAGGCCGACGCTCTAACCGCTGAGCCAAACTGGCCAGAGCAAGTTATTGGCACTTTTAAAGGGGAAAAAATAGTCATGGTGGAATAGATGGTAGTTACTTCTGTAATTAAGTGGGGTAGGACAGTGTGACATTAACATGCCCATTGTGGCGATGCAGTGTGATGTGACGTGTGCGTCATCACTTGTGAAATATTCTTGCCAGAAATGTTTCCCTTGAACCTAATGATACCTTTAGATCCAACTTCCAGTTTATAGGAAAAACAAGAGATAGAGGAACAATGTTAATGACATTGTAAAACAATACGACAAATCTAAAATATGGACTAATTAGTTTTGCTTTGTTTTTTTTTGAAGTTAATATAAAGAAAAATGAGTCGGGACTGTTCTAGAACTAAAGACCAAGGACATAATCAAATGTAGTGCATAAAACTGGAATATTTTATTTACTGGTTAAAGAAGTTGTAAAAGACATTTTTTAGATAATCAGTAATATGAATATGGACTGGATTGTAGATGCAATTAGAGAATTATGGTATGAATAATGGTGATTATGATAATGGTATTGTGTTTATGAAGGAGAATGTTTTTGTTTTTAAGCTTTGTATTTTAAAGTATTTAGTCGTCATATATGTAGGTTATTTTCAGATGGTTCAGAAAAAGTCTATATAGGATAGATTCTTGCTAAAGTTAAATGTTTTTTGAAAAGTTTATGTTGTGTGTGCACTGTGCATCTTTAAAAAAAGAATCTGGTGAATTGGGGCCACTGTATTTATTCCTTCATTCATTGAACTATCTTCTTGAATACAGTGAAATACCCAAAAGTTGGATAAAAAAACCTTAAGACCAAAGGATTTATCTTGAGAATTAGGATTCCCACTGAATCCAACCTCACACTTCTCTTATTCTTCCTTTTCAGAGGTAGTCGTCATTACTCTTTTTTAAAAAGTTTGGTGTCGCCCTGGCCAGTTTGGCTCAGCGGTTAGAGCGTCGGCCTGCAGTCCAGAGAGACCCAGGTTCGGTTCCCGCTAAGGGCATGTACCTCGGTTGCAGTTTGTCCCCGGCCCTGGTTGGGTCGTGCAGGTGGCAACCACTCGATGTGTCCCTTTCACGTTGATGTTTCTCTCTCCCCCTCCCACTCTATCTGAACAAAAAATGGAAAAATGTCCTCGAGTGAGGATAAAAAAAAAAGAAGAAAAAAAAATTGGTATCATTACAAAATTATTCTAAATGTTGCCTGTGCATGTATATATGTATAGATGTGTATAGATACATATATACGCCCCTACTCTTTTTAAACCCCCAATGGGAGTGTATTTTGCACTCTGTACTCCACCTTTCTCTCCCACTATATATTTTGAAGATTATTTCATGTCTTAATGAGCAGCGTGCCATTGTAAGGCTCTGTCATAATTTACTTTACCAATCCTTGATTCATGGACATAGAAGTTCTTTTCATGTAGCTTTTAATAATTAGAGACATTTTCAAACATATAGAAATAGAATAATGTAATGAATACTCTTGTACTAAAAAGAGCTTCAACACTTATTTTTATAGTTTGGGATCCCTGGTGAGCAGACTCTGAGATGGAGATTAGTGCTCAGGTTTGTTGGGGTTTGCTCTTGATATTAACACCCAGGGAAAGGAAGGAAAGGAGGCAGGTTTGGCTTGAAAGAGAAGGTGAGCTGTGGTGTCCCCGTATAATTTCAATTGGTCCTGGGGGGAATTCTGAAGATGAAATGAATGACCCTACTGGAGCTATCCTGAGTTGATACAAGGGGGCCTTCTTATATATCCCGACTTGATCAGTCACTGGATGTGGGCTGTCACAACAGAAGGCAGCAAGAG